CTAGACCTAGAGCCAGGTTTCGACCTGTTCGGGGTCTTGTCTGAAAAAACAGCCGAGGTTGGTCGTCTGCCACTGACAGAGAAGCTGGCTGAAGTCCTCTTCCTGGTGGCCGGAGGCACAAACGGTTTGACAGTAGCAACGTCTGCGGAGGTTGAGGGCAGACGTTTGCGATAACCGAAGAAACCATCGGGCGCTTCAAACTGTAATAGAGAAAGGAAAACAAGGGCATCAAAAGATGGCGGTGTCGCGACAAACCTGGGAAAGGACATCTACGGTTTCACTCGAGCAGCGGGCAGGAAAATGGCCGTGGTTACTCACCCGCGCCACGCTTCCAAAAACATATTCACCTCGGTTCCATGTGACTTCTGTGGTACAGGGTGAATTCCGCCTGCATAGACAGCTCTTCTACACCTTGCACCAAGATGACTGAGAAAAAATGTTTGGTCCGCAATTTGGAGAAACTACCGAACTAGGTAAGGCCCCTTGCTTTTTGGGAAAATCCCATCAAATTAGTCACCCTTATGGTTACCGTTCTCCTCCACGTTTTCAATTAATTTTGCCTGACCGGCCTTTGTTGTACAGCTGCGTGACGAGTTTAAAATGACGTGATTTTATGTAAGCCTTCGCTTTTTTCGAACGCTCATCATCCAGTCGCGCTTGGGCAGTATTGAGCCCCCGTCAAGTTTAGACTGATACATAAGATGCGGTTTCGACAGAGTGAAGAGGAAGACGAAAGCAACTGTAACCAGTGTGATCAGACTGAAAAATCCGCCGAGTATTGATAGCATGCACATGCACAGACCAGACTTCAAATACTTTTCTGCAATAAGGGTGTGTTTGAAATAGTCCAAGAAGTTGAAAGAATAATCCAAAGCACTGTTGACGTAGGGTTATGGCATTTTGTATGCAAGCCCATGCGTGAGAGCGGGATTCCGCCAACAGGCGTCACCCGGCAAATTATTGTGGAACAAGGTAAAGGTGAGCACAATTATAACCGCTCATCACTACCCTCCCCACCAGTTACTGAATCGCGTACTTTCGAGGATTCGCAGCCCCTAGTACGTCAGACTTTGACGTCCATTCGTTGTCT